CGTCGCGCGAGCAACATAGATCGTATCCAGCGGCGGGAGAATGTGCGACTGTGCCTCGTACGACCGACTGTGGCCGAAACGGATAACGACGTATGTACATCACGATCGAACGTTCTCGTCGACGCTGTGTGCCCTCAGCCTACTCGACCGTTCCTTGGATCTCAACGCCGAGCATTTTCTTCGCGCACCCTCTCAACCCCGTCGTCACCGATATAGCTACTGCGAGCGAACAGTTGGATCTTCGCCGTTGCCGCTATCTCCATAACTCTCTCTGCGCTATCGTCAGTACTGTTATTAACACAATTATCTCTGACACTGTCAACAATTTTCCACGGCAACATCCTGACTTGACTTAATGACCGTGATTTGATTTTATTTGGCTACAAAAGTATTTCGACGTTTTTCACAAAAGTCTCACGACCCCTCGTGCGTTTTTCCGTGAAAAATGTTAAGGAATTGTTTCGCGGCGGTGAAATCGAGCCTTTCATCGATGCGCGCAATCTAAAAAACGCACTTCGCAGTTCGCACTGCCTATCGACAAAGTGTGTCAAGTCGCTTGGTATTTACAACCTTGGATTTTCTAGGGATTTTCCGACAATTTTCTGCGATCTACACATCCGAAGATGAATCCTTGATTGATATTCCGTCGACGAAAAATTGTTTTCTTAAATTGCCGATATTTTCAAGAATGCAAACACTCGATCGAGTTTTTTTAAAACATGGGTGAGCGTTCGTAGATAAATTACCTATGGCGACTTGTTCATGTAATGAGTAATTCTTTAAAAAAGCGCATTTCTTCAAGCCACGAAATAGGAAGCAAATCATGTGAGAAGCATAGAGTACTGACAAAATAACACATCGAATAACACATTGATAAATTTATTTCTCTTTTTTTTCTCTATATTTACACATATGTATATGAAAAATTGCTTTAATCTTTAATATAATATTTTCTAAAAACTAATTAATTTTACTAGCTCATTGATTTTACTTGTATCAGTTTATTGTCACAGCTATTATATTTTGCTTCTTTCTTAACATTGATTTTCCTTTCTTGTGTTAGTTTGTAACATCATTTTTTGCTTTTCTAAATAGAATGTAATATTGGTCTGTGAACCAATAATTCGGTTTTGATGTTTTGTGGATTGGAAAACCAGTTAAAAATTTAATAAACAGTTCCTTTCTGTTAAACATTTTATTTCTCAATTTATCTTTAATGTTGAATTTTACATACATATATAAAAAATTTCTGATATTAAAATTATACATTCAACATAGTATTGCTTTTTTAAGAAAAGACTCGTGTACAAAACATTTTTTCAAATGTTTTACTTTTCAGCAATGTAAAAATTTTGTTAATTGATTTATATACATATTATGCAACATTTGCAAATATTTTTTATCATTAAACGGTAAATATTTTATGCTAATTACAATAATATTTATATTCAAATTGTTTACTTATAAGGAATATAAGTCACACATAAGGAATTTAAGTCATAAACATAAAAGTTTGGTAATTGTTGAGTTTAGAGGCCTCACCTCCGATCTTGATAAAATTAGTCTCATTCCACGCATTTTTGCATGAAATGAACGAATCTGATAAAAAAAGTGTCGTTCTGTTCCGCGAACTGAGATATAATATTAATTGTTAAAGTTGACAGATATTCAGGTTTGGAAATCTGTCACATCAATATGGCATAAAAGAGAGGTGTTACACAGATTTACTGCTTTAAAAACAAATTCACTGCTTTACAAACACAAATTTACTGTTTTAAAAACAAATTCACTGCTTTAAAAACACAAATTCACTGCTTTACAAATACAAATTGACTGCTTTAAAAACACTAATTCACTGCTAATGCAAAGAAAAAAAAATTTATGTGCTTAAAACAGTGAATTTTTAAAGCAGTGAATTTGTGTTTTTAAAGCAATGAATTTGTGTAATTGCAGAACATATACATAGAGCTGTATCGAGTGACAGATATCTTGAAGGCCGTCTACAATGGTAGTAAGCAGTAGTGGTAAGGCTGTAAGACACGTCGGGAGTAAGCTGATTTTTCAGTATAATAGGACATAGAGTGAGTCCGTAAGTAACATTACGGAATTTTGTGTAGGGGGCCCTTACCCCGGATCTACAATAGAGTTTTAAGCCATAAGAAATGGGCGAATCATAGTCGATTATTCTCCTCGAATTCGACTGTGATTCGCCCATTTCTTATGGCTTAAAGGGATCCTGAAGCCGTCTGTATTACCGACTAAATCGTAATTTTTGTATAACAAATACTTTTTTCTTCTTTCACAGATTCTCTCTCTCTCTCTCTCTCTCTCTCTCTCTCTCTCTCTCAAAAATCCTTTTCCAGGATTAAAGTATACACATTAATACGTATTCAAGTGTAATAAAATCCCCATAAAACCCAGTGTGTTTTTTGGGTGGGTTGAGTTTTTTTTAAAAAAGCCCGGGTTTTTTCCAACCCTGCTAATGAGCATAATTTTATTGGCTACGTTTACACCGTGCGCTTAGTCCGCGACCTATACGATAGATGTCTTTGTTTAACTTACAAGATAAACAAGGACATCTATTGTATAGGCCGCGGCCTAAATGCACGGTGTAAACGTAGCCATTAACATTACAGGTGAGATATTTAATGAAATATTTCATTTATGACTAAATGATTATCCGACGTATTGACTGGTCAAAGATACATTATCACTTACTGGTTAAAGATACAACGTTTGCTCACTTTCTATTTGTTATTACTTTTATAAATTCTAAGTTAAGATTAACGGTATTAAATTTTAAATAACTTTTTCTGAAAAAATATCTATTTAACATTTTAAACAATTCCAACATAAGACAAAATGCATATACAACATTTTATGAGATTAAAAAGCGTATTGAAATTACTTCATTCGAATACTCGAAAACGATAAATTATTTTTCATAGGAGTATAATTCTCTTCATTATTATGATTGTAAGTTATAAAACACCTTTGGTGCTAATACTACAAATTACATATTTTTACTTTTACAAATATCCAATAGATTTTTTATAAATTCGAATGGTTAAAGGTACAACTGGTCAAAGGAACACCAGGTTCCCCTACATTTTTATTAAGATTCTAGCGGGAGAATAATCATATTCTAAATAATTACCATTTTTTTCTATATAAAGCAAAGAATTTTTTTTTTAAACAAAATTTGTTTTTGCAACCAAAAATTTGTGTAATTGAAGCAAAAAAATCTTTATTTACGTGATCTTATGTCCCTCTGTACCATCGATGTAACAGATTTCCTAACTTGAATATTTGTCAACTTTAATAATTAATATCTAAGTTCGTGTAGAGCGACACTTTTTTTGCCAGATTCGTTTATTTTATGCCAAAACGCGTGAAATGAGACTAATTTTATCAAGATCGGAGGTGAGGTTGAGTTAAACTCAATTACCAACAATTTTTTACGAAAACATTTTTTAGGAAAAATTTTTGCGTTATCTGTAAGATAAATTGAAATATTAACATTTAAACACTTGAGGGAAAGAAATTAACATTTAATGTGTGAGAAACATTACTTAAAAAAATGTAAAAAAACGATACGAAAAATAGGTAACCCGTACATACCTAAATTTTTTGCGCCCTTGTTACACACGTTGAGTCATTCGTTCTGGATAATTCTTTAATAATTTTTATAAACGATTTTTACATATATTTTTACATCTATAAGAAGTATTTTTGTATATTTTTACATCTATAAGAAGTATTTTTGTAAACAATTTCTGTAGACTCGAATTCTTAAAATAAAAATAATAATAACACAATCCGTAAAGGCCATACGAGTCACGGGCTGATGAAGGTGCCAACGATTAATTTCAATCTTAATTAATCATTAATGTGTAGAATCCTCTTTATTGAACGTTTCGACTCACTTTGGAGTCCTCCTCAGCAATACATATGTGTAATTAATATGTTGAGTATTCCGTCAACATGAGTCACTTACAGGTTCCCGACTGTAGTGGATCCTGATTGAATATCAAAATTAAATTGATTTATCAAAAGAAAAAAAAAATCTAAGTAACTCACCTCGAACGAAACATTCAACATGTTTCATAAAGAGGATTCTACACATTAATGATTAATTAAGATTGAAATTAATCGTTGGCACCTTCATCAGCCCGTAACTCGTATGGCCTTTACGGATTGTGTTATTATTATTTTTATTTTTGTAAAGTTGTATATTTTTATAACAAATTGTACATAAATTGTTATAACTAAATATAGTTAACAAAATGAGGAAAATGCACTTTTTCATACAAAAATGTAAAACTCTGAAACAAAAATGTTTAAAGGAAAAATGTATTTCAATATCTTAAAGTTGACATTCCAAATTACAAAAGAAAAAATAGTTCGAGTGTCGATTGTCCAAAAAATTTTTAAAAGTTATTTATAATAGTAACCTGAAAATGTTTTCTTAATATGCATGAATGGCTATAATTGAAGATATATTGCATTTACATTTTAAACAATGCATTTTATTATTGCTATTGTGTTAAAAAACTTATAATTTATTAGGAAAATGTTCTTTATAACAGACAACATAATATATGTACATATAATATTACAGACAGCATTTAACATAAGGGTGCTACAAATCAACGTGTTTGTTAAGGGCTTCTTTTTATAATAATTCACAAAATATTTCCGCAATACGAACGAGAATTAGTTAAAAATGAAGAAAAAAATAAAAATTTTATAGTTACACAAAAAATGTACACTCTGTACACACGATAGGTCATTTGTGACCCAGAGGTGAACTCGGGGTTATTCTAGTCAAAAAATACGCATGAATTGAAGCCGGCAACGCACAAAACGTGCG